GAGAGAGAGAGAGAGAGAGAGAGAGAGAGAGAGAGAGAGAGAGAGAGAGAGAGAAAGAGAGAGAGAGAGAGAGAGAGAGAGACCCTCTGACCAAGTTGTCACTTCTCATCCTAGACAACTTGCGTTTGGATAGAACACACCCTCGTGTTCTATTCCAACGGCGGCACTAACGCAGCAGTACACAACGACCCATGGTATGCATAGTATCAAAGTGCAGTGAAATGCACTTCTCAGGCACAACGCAAGCACGGCTTATGCGGTAAAAGAACATGTGATAGCGGGGCACCGTGGTCGTAGCCCAACTAACCCAAGGCATGACAGGTCTCCACGTATCAGCTGATCTGGCCTCGAAGTAAACTACAACAGTGCAATGGCATCAACAACTAAAATACAGTTTGCTAACACAACCCCCGCAACTGTAGGAAAAGCACAGCACTGTAGGACAATCAACAGTTCAAACCGGGCCAGTGTCGAAAGCAGCCGTGTTAGTACTTCACTGGACTAGTAATTATGACTCATCGGGCCGCAAGTGTAGTGCGAGTGTTAGCTGAATTGCAAGTGGTAAATTTTGGCGTCAACAACTCTTTTCCTCTTCAACTAATTGTCCCTGGGCTCGAATTTGAGTTCGTATTTTAACAACTCAGAGATGTGCCAACTGAGTTGGGCTAGCCTGTCTTATTCAGTCGGTTAACGACGGGTTGTACTAGTGATCAGTAGCACACTCGATCGTACTTATTCAAGATTCTCGTTCCGATTTATACAGCATGGTGGTCCGCAACAACTGAAGACAAGCTTGGCTGCACCATTCATCCCTAGATCTGTCCTTTCTTCCTTTATTTATACCTGCTACAACAGGTAGGGGATACCGGCCACGGGTCAGCAGGTAGCATCAGGACCGAGCTTCTTCGTGTGCCTTCCCTGCAGTCCCCTCCCCCTATGAACATGAACAGTCTCTGCCCAATGCCATGACAGGATATCTCTACGTGGTAGGCGCCAAGCTTGCCCATGTACATGAGGCTAATGGGGATTGAGCCCAAGACCTCTCGAATGCCACTCGAGTGCCTTACCAACTGAGGCAGGCGACTGGATTCAAATTCACATATGCAATTCAACAATTTCATGTATGCCTCAACTCCGCAGCCTGCAAGTGTGTGAAATGAGAAGGAATCTTTTGCAAGAACATAGGAAGATGCACTGCGATAGACAAATGTTTTGAAAAGAGATCTCGGTGTGAGCATGGACTAAGGCATTGTTAGATGCTGGTGTCGCCGTGTGCATGAGGAAATAGAAAGATTCTGTCGATAGGATAAGCAAATTTGGGATGAATCTTTCCACTAGATTATGATCCGGTACACCAGTCGATAAAAGCAACCATGTAGTAACACTCACTGTTGCGATTCGTCTGGTCACGCTGAAACGGTGGCCAACTCAAATGAGCAGGCCGATGCGTACAAGGCTCGTAATGGTGATTACCACGATGGCATAATCGGGGTGAGTGCTTGTCCAAAGCGGACACGACCAACAACAAGAACTTGATAACGAAAAGCATGGCCAACGAGATGGTAAGTTCTGCTTCGCGCTTGCTTCCTCGATAATAATTAGGATGGACAGAGTAATATCGATAAGCATGAGCCGACGCTGAACATGATGGCATGCGAGGCACGATACTGTTCTCGCCTCCGACTATGCAAAATGGAATTGAATCTCCGGTCAGAACACGGGTAGGCTCACCACCATCTCACCTATACGACGCACACCTCACGAGGGTGGCAAGCACCGCGAACAACCCGACCTTCCTGATCACGGACGTGACCTTGCCAGGTCAAAGTCACCTCTCTCTGTCTCTTTCTTACTTTCTTCTCTGTTTTGGCTCTTCACTTCGATTGCCCCTAGTAGACGACCCGTTCCACTGTATGTGCGCTGCTAAGGAAGGCACCCCGACTGCAGCGGTCCTCTATCTGCCCTAGCCTACAGCTAGGGCCTATTCGGCTATTTGCTAGTTCGGCCTGTGGGACCAGATCGTGGTCTGACCCCACAGGCCGTGTGTTGTTTCAGCCTAGTTCAGTCCTGCCCGGTACCTCTATCGGTACCAGGCCAGTCTAGTCCAGTCCAGTTAGTTCACTGGGGTATACCCAACTGTAGTCCGTATTCTGGGCCTTCTTCGTTTGCACACTTTGGAGTACGTGCATGTTGAGTCTGCGTTGGAGCTGCGCTGTCCCTTCCAGCTCCATCTCCATCTCCTCTATCCTCATCCCTTTGTCTTGATCCTGATAGACCGTCATCCCGGCGGGTTGGTCACACTGGTATTAGAGCAGGCGCGTCTCCCTGTTCCCCTCCCCTCCCCACCCCCTCCATCACTTGCCACGTGGCTTGAGCAAAACACTTGCCACATCTACCCCCCTAATGACATCGGTGCAAGTTTTGCCTCATAACGTTTGCATCCGGTGTTCAATTGTTTTGATATTTGGCCTTTTGGAAAGCTCTTGACGACCCGCTTCGGTGCGCTAGTTTTGGAGCTACAACCAGTTAAAGATCGCGATTGTTTTTTTCCCAGGCTCCAAAATCGCGCGCGCTCGTTTTTCAACGAGCGCTATTATTACAGGCTGCGGCTGATTCCGGGCCATATCTTGTTGGAAGCACCTTTCGAAAAGCTTTCCAACGAGTCCTCTTTTGCTAAATTCCACGCAATGGGTGAAAAATTATGAGCAAAAGAGTGTT